CTTAATTAAAACTTGTAACAGTAAGTGACAGGGCATCTATCATCTATCTAATCTGAAGGGTGATTTATAGGTGCTGACACAGTTGTGAGATGAGACACTGGCAGCTTCGTTACAGTGTTGTTTCCTCATCATAGACCTGGAGTTGTGTTTTGTTTCATTCACACATATTTAACACACAAACCCTCCATATTTAGGCTGAGCTCTTCTCTCAGACAGAAAACAGTAACCCTGGAAGTGCTTCAGTGTGTTTTTAAACTCTATACACCTTCACTAGAATATTTTGGATAATTTCAGCCCTGGAATTACCAATCTTTACTAAACAAAACGTAAAAAGAGCTGTTCATTTGAAAACTACCGCTACACTACATTTTGAGCTTTGAAAACGTAGACAGACTAATAACGCAGATTTACTAAAACATGTGTGAATGAAACAAAACACAACTCCAGATATGTTTTTAATGCGGTAACATTCTAGCATGGTCAATCTTGCGTAATATAGCACCTTTAATTTTATGATTTCTGGAGTTCATTTGTCAGATTAAAGAAATGTCCTAAACAGTTACATCTGGTGTGAGTAATCTGATTTCTTTCTGATTGTTAACACTTGTGCAGGTTTTGACAAGGAAAACTATGCAAAAACCTTACAAATACAACAGTTGCTCTAAAAAAATACATGCAACCAGGTGTTTTTTATGCTCAGATTTCAATTGTGTACGTAAACACACACCACAAATCATATCTAATTATTGACTTAATTACTGATTAGTGACTTTTACTGCAACCACGGATGCGGTTTTATAAAAAGTCATATGTAAATGAAGAGACACCCACTCTGGCGCTCTGCTGTGGACCCAAGCCTGTTGTTGCTGCTGCTATTCAGTAAACATCTACGTGCATCTGGGCTCCATGTACAGGGAGGAGGAGGAGGAGGAGGAGGAGGAGGAGGAAGGTGGGTGTCCAGCTCCTGTCCATGCTCTGATCAGGTGAATTCTCCCAAATGTCCTAGAGTGAAAGCAAGCACATAATCTGAGAGAACAGCGAGTACATGAGTCATACACAAAAGCGTACAACATTACAATCGTACTGGTTATTTCAGATAATGTGGCATAGTGGGTCTATTGAATTTATTTTAAAAAATCTATTAAATCTGCACACAGGTCAGAGTTAAACAAAAATATATTAAACAAATTTATATTCTAAAATAACTGCACTGGACATACATGTAGTACACCAATGATTTAATCTATAAAAAATAAATAACTACATAAAAAATTTTGTAGTAAAAATAAGAGTAGATAATATTTTCACAGTGGATCAGGAATCTACTAAATGTGCCTATAAATGTCTTGTCTCACCTCAAAACGTGAATGGACCATAAAATTACCCACAAAAGCTATATAACTTCCCCATTTTTTACAGTTTTATTTATAGAGAATATACTCAACGATTGCTATATTATCAAGTTTTCCATATATCTGCCGCCTCTATAAATGTCCTTGCTGTCTTCTTCTGTCCTTGTCCACAGGCTCAGTGCAGAGCAGGGGCAGGTTTTTAAAGTGAGGACCCACTAATGGTTGCCAGATGCTGAGCAAAACACTGTCTCAGAAATTCCATTCATGTGAAGGCAGTGGTTTCTCAGCACTTTTAGCCTCTCGTGCCTGTCTGCTCTTAGAGGGTGGTCACCTGCACCAGACAGATATATTATACCATGTGCAGTAAGTGTAGGTCCAGTAACTTTTCATTTCATTCAATTACAAAGACCGCAATTGAAACACATTTTTAGCAATAGACCTTTTTTACCAACATTATCGCCCACCAGGACACGCTCATGTTAATTGAATAACTGCTGCAATTTATAGACCAACAGGCGAGAGATATTGTGACCCAAATTTTGCCCATTATTAAAACTGCTGCCTCTCCTTCTGCAAGGGGCTAGCCTATTTATGTCATCTAGTTTCCATGGCAACCGCACCATAGATAAAATCAGATGCAGACGCAGGTTTCAAGTGCAGCACCAAGTTTTCCCTTTGCAACAGGATGACGTGCCATAGCAGTTTTTTATTGTGGATTCTGTGGACATTATGGTATACAGGCCTATAGGCACTTGAGAACCTCTAAACATGATGGTGGTAAAGTTAATTATGGTCCTTCCTCTGTTTTTGTCTGGCTGAGAGTGTTATTCAACAGGCCCAACAATCTTACATTTAAAGAGCCCATATTACAGTATTTTCTGATCTGTTATAATGTTTTTGTTTTGTTTTTTGTGAGTTTTATTTCATTCACACACGTTTAACACACAAATCATGCATATTTAGGCTGAGTTCTTCTCTCAAACGCTCTGTTCAAAGTTGTCATGTCATAGTGGAAATGACTCACTCTGTTTTTAAACTCCTCCAGCTTCACTAACATCATTTGGATCATTTCAGTGCTGGAACTGCCAATCTCTAGACTAACAGACTCCCAGACTAACAATAAATGGTTACTCAGACATGTGTGAATGAAAGAAAACACAACTCTGGGTATGTTTTTGAGGAAGCAACAACATTCTAACAGGACTAAAAGCTCACAAGAATCCATTTTGTATATTTTAGGATTTTTTTTTATAATGGTCCTCCCTCTGTTTTTGTCTGACTGAATGTTATTCAAATGACTGCACAATCTCACACTTAACAATATCTCAACACCATAAAGTACTGCATAAGGGCACTGCACCAGCACTCAGGACACTCACACTAAATAAGGGCTGCACAATTTGGGGAAAATATCTAATTGCAATGTTACGAACATTAAATTGCCATCATATTAGATTTGTGATTTATGTTTTAACAGTAGGATTCTGCTAAAAAAGACAGTATCAGCAGAGTAATACAAGAATCATTACATGTTACACAGTGTTTACGTTCGATAAGACAGGATTTTTTTGTTGTTTGTGGAAGAAATTTGCAAACTTTACAATCTGCTAATTGCTTCCATTCTAATTGCGATGAATCTATCTTGCATAGGTATGTGCAAAAATATCAAAAAATTAACATATCGTATCGTTTAATGTAATAATACGGTATATAGTGGGCTGCTGTATTGATATATCAACAAGAGTATTTTTGGGGTATATTTTACTCAATTATTTTGTCACAGCGCTACAGTTTTGTTGCTTTTTAGAGGAAGAAAACTCAACACATTTGGCATTTTCACTGTTTTGATGATTAAAATGTTTGTGTTTCATATGAAATTTGCACAAGAAGTGGTTTAACAAAGACTTTTAGTATCACAGCCATGATTTAGCCATTATTTTTTATCGAACCATATCAAATCGATTTGAAATATATCGTATTGAATCGAAAAAGCACTGTATCAAGATATGAATCGTATCAAGGTAAGTATCGTATTAGCAACTTCTTAATGATACCCGGTCCTCTTGCAATCCTATTCTAAATCATCCAAACTTCAGTATTACAGCATTTAATGTTTCAATGTTAAAATGCACGATAATGGCCTGGTCATCTCTTGTTGACTTATTAACAATCTTGGTTAAAGGTACACTATGTAACCTTTTAATTGGGGGTCTGTCACCTGCTTGTTTCTACAGATGTGTCACTGTTCTGTCTGGAATGTTCCACAGTATGAATAAATATAAACATTTATCTAAATATAAATAAATAAATAAATAAGTTAGAGCTGTTCAATGTCACAGGTGGTTTTATAACTCAAAAATACCTTTAAAAAAAAAAAAAACATCCATTGTGACGGCCTCTCCACACATCTGACCTGTAACTTGGTCTGGTTTGGTCTCCATGAAGATAGAAAGGTTTAATACCACACTATGAAGCATTCCAGACAAAGCAGTAACATCTCATTTCATGGACCTTTCACCAAAAAAGTTACACAGTGCAGCTTTAAGTCCTACGAGACGACTGCTCTTGTGATTTGGGTCTTTTCAAAAATACACTGAAATTGAAAACTACTTCAACATCACTGACAGCAACCTTCTTTGTAACCACAATACTGACATTTAACACGCATTATTTTATTTTGAATTTTGCCAACAATATCGCATGCAAATAAATGACTGTATTTTACTCACGCTCACTACAGAAAGTCACTGATGTGGACCTGACATGAGAAGAATCCACGTGGATCAAACTCCATCGCGCTGTCCGGACTTAACGGGATCATCTGTGTGTTTATCGCCACCTATCGGACAAACACACGAACTGCAGCACAGACAATGGCAGTATGATGGACAATTATAGCGTACTGCACAATACAAAGAATAAAAAAGTGAAATCATATAGTAAGTTAATCTTAAATTAAACCAGGCACATTCTTTTTTTTCTACCAACTAGGTTATATTCTAACTACATACACCTATTCAATCTGCATGTTTTCTAACCTTTGTACAGTTTAATTATGCATCACTAATGCCACTCCACTGACATCAATGTTCCTTTTTTATTTAAATGCCAGCAACTGCATTTTCAGGGACTGAAATATGGTGATGTGAATTTCCCCAGCTCAATGACATCAGTTTAATTTGAATATACGTGTTATTGCACCACGTCTAGTCCCTTTTCCCTCCCACAGTACATCATCTTACACAGGAAGCAAGCGACTCTTATGAACAAGATTTAATGTCAAAGGTCTCAGTCGAAACATTCTCAATGGATCAGGGCTCGAGCCTATTTCTGCAGTGTGTGTTCTATCACTTCTCTTGTGACAAATGAACCAAAATAGTCACAATTATACACAGTATGTTTTTTGTGTGTGCTAAAAAAATCATGCTTCATCATGCTTTTAATAAACCATGTTTTGCAAAATTGTAATGCTGTGATGAATAAAAACAAAAACAATTAAATATATAGTACAGTGTACAGCAAATGCTTGTATCTGCGTATATCTCATGAGGTTCTTAGACTCTCACCAGCTGATAAGAACACCACTTGTCAGGGAGAATTCCTCCATTTGAACACTGTTAAAAAAAATCCAAACAGTCCAGCATGTGCTCATCTTTATAACTGAGTTTATTTTGAAAGTCCTTCCTCCTGGTACACACTGTAGGTCATCAGCGCTAACCCAGAGACAATAAAACAGTGTTGTGTGATCAATGAACTCAGTAAACAGGGCCCAGGGTGAGGCTCACTCCTGTGCACTTAAAATCATGACCTGCCATGATGACAGGACATTTAAAAAGCCTTAAAGAAGGTGAACACAACAAGTGCAAAATACTTGCAGGACATAAAATCCGAATTCTAATGTCACATCCAATTGTTCTTTGAACGCATGCCATTTTTGTTGTCCAAGTGTTAGCCTGATCAGTTTGCCCCACCCCCAAAAGATTGATTCTGGTTGGCAAGGCTGCATAAACTCATTGTCAGCTGGCAGCATACATTCACAAAACTGGGAAATCCAGTCTGAAAACCTGAATTAATTTACTGTCCGGTACATTTAAACTTTTCTGCTGAGCGACATCTCACATAAAACAAATCAAGCATTTAAAAAGCAGGTAACCTCTAAGGCAACATGTGAACTAAAACCAAACTACCATAGACAACTGTACAAGGAGCTATTTACTCCATTTGTCCGTGGGGGCATTCACATACCAAGAATATGAGGGATATCATACAAGAAAATCATGTGAATAGAAAAGACTGAGACACACAGAAACAATACTGACGTCATAGTAAAGCCGTGGAGAACGACCTGCAGTCCGTCACTTCAGAGTTCATACGTGTCTGTGTGGAGTTGGACACCTTTGAGGATGGGACACAGATCTCATGGGATCGGAGCAGGTAAGGGTGGGGTTTGCATAAAACGGATCCCACAGCGCCTCATTCACAAACACTGCATAAGTCACTTTTTGCTGAAAAGCTGTCTCGGTTTCACATTCTTGAAGACATGCAGCTACAGTACAAAAAGGCATCGACTGACGGTTAGATCTTCTGCCACCAAATATTAGACAAATGTGCATTGAAAACATGATTTTAAAGTGATGCTTTTGAAGCTCTATAGGGTCATTTAACAGTACTGTTTTTTCATAACCTGCTGTGATGGATAGCCTCCTGATATACAAACCAGGATTTTTTTGTTCACTGGTTAAACAACAAATACACTAAAGTATGGCGTTTCACCCTCCATCAGTCCTCGCCCTCTGTACTGTGTGCTGCCAGCTGCTGGAGAAATAAAAACATGATGATCCACTGAAGAGAGCATGCAGCCCCCAGGGCTCCTACACTACCCACTTACTTATAATAAATATATATTATTATATCATTAAAATTTTTTATTCTATTCCCTTTGATTTTTCTGAATAAATGCTAGTAAAAACAATCAATAGACTGTTAGAGCGTAGGAACCCTGAGCATGTGGGACAGCGCCTTGCTCACTGGCTCCTCTCAGTGGAAGTCCATAAAACAGCAGCAGGTGATTGTTTGGTCTGCACCACAGCCACACTGTGATGATGTGCAAAGTTTCTTGTGAACAGAGATGGGACATGCGGCGCACAGTGGACAAGTCTCCTATAGTGTTACAGTGCATAGTACAGGGGGAGGGGTCCCATCATGACGTGCCCTGCCTCTTCTGCTGCTGTACGCGGATAAGCTCCAGCTGTTTTTTGCACTTCTGGTAGTATGTGGACAGACTTTTGTTCTCCTCTAGCAGCTTCTTGTGCTCCTGCACCAGACGGGACGCATTCTGTTGGTCCTTCTCGTCCTGGTCCAGTTCAGCAATCAGCTCCTTCCTGGATACAGACAAATAAGAGTCTAGAAGCCTCGAGAGCAAGATGCGTCAAACAGTGCTTAATAGTTAGTTTATTTAACGACAACTTACCATGAGGCATACTATTTGAATAAACCATGTGTGGGTCGATAGGACAGTCTAAACTACTTTGGTTGCACCATTATGTATACACACAGTCAAAATCCTTTAATAAAGCGCTTGTAGTCACTGACACTACATTTAGCGGTGCAGTGCCATTAAACTAAATGCTCCTACAATACAAATACTCCTTCAGTATAATCCCACTGACAGCGACAGTGAAGCAGACTTACTTCCTCTGGATGAGCAGGGCGATCTCGGTTTGCACTTTCAGGTATTCTTGAGCCATTTTACAGTGCTGTTCAAACACCGCCATGGACTCTTTAGAGTTTGGACATGGAGCCAGGGGCTGAGAACAAGACAAACACAAATAAATGTTATAGCAAATTAACTGAAATGCTGCTTCAGTTGACACATGAAGGCAACTGTGCTGTGTTCTAAATCGATCAACTGTGCAATTAATGTCTGTAAAAAAGTGAGTACATTTTTATCTTATCTTAGGTGACCCCAAATACAATCACAGCTGTTTGGACACACAGTAAGTAAGAGTACCTGCAGCTGGTGATCCAGGGTCAGATACGCCATAGGTATGGAGTTGTCAGAGCCATTGGTATCTGAGGAAATAGAGAGTCAAACTGGGCACGGTGATACTACAGAGAGAGTCTACAGAGTCATGTGATACCTGTAGGGTCATCGGAAGGGAAGTAGGCTCTGTTACTGGTCTTGTCAGAGGTCATCCGCACACTGGGACTGGATGAGCGGCTGCTGTTCCTGCTCCCCTACAACCCAAAACACACAGTCAAGTCAAGAAAAAAAACATGCATTAAACTCCATTCAATACAGGAAAGAGCATATTAAAATTGTAAGTTGATGAAATTGCTCTATCATTAGGGTTGTCAAAAGTATGGAAAGTCAGACACTTATTAATACCAAAATTACTCGCAAACACTAGATACTAATTTGAGCAGGTGTTGATACTAAAAAATAGTCACATACACAGGACAGAAACGAACCTTTCCTGAATAGCTTTGAAAGATCTTGCCCTTTATCAGAACTAGTAAGACGACACAGACAAGTATATGTCCATGTCCCACTATGACATACCTGGACGACTGAGAGGTTACACAGAAATAAGAAAACATGGTAATATAAAAGAAAACACTACAATTTAATATTGAAAATCTCAAGAGTGTTTTTATGAGTGGTTGGCTGCTTTTGTGGCTACCTGGCTCACACACTAGTTCTGAAACTTTTTAAGCTCAGTTTTTGACATCATATCATGGGATTTTAATCAACTATACATGTGCAGTTTAACAAACACAAGTAAGGGTCTGTTGGATTTTGTGAAATGAGCCATTTGCTTTTCCCGTTTTTCATGGAGACTGAGATTTGAGATGTTGCATGCTTTTTACATCATATGTGGCGGCAAATTTGGCAGAAGACCTTCCAGAGGAAATACTCCAATACTTTCCAGAGCAAACACATTGAGGGAATTAATCATTTCATCACCAACCGAAACAACAGAGCAGAGTAAAAACAGTTCTTTCTTGTTGTACTCAACCAGTTCCCCCCTGGACACTGCTGTGATGCTGCAGGACAGAGGGACACTTTTGACTCTTCTTCTCCTCAAACTGCTCTAACACAGACCTGCTGACCCTACCTGACCAGTCCTCCTGTTAAAATACACTGAGAATTTTGACTGACACAAAGGCAACTGAGAAGAGCAGTGGAAATGTTGCAGCTGCCACAAAACTTGAATTTCTCTCGGAATATAGTATCTCTCATTCTGGTATAGGCATCATTATCTGTAGTATTATCTGAGACTATTCTTTAGTATCATGATCAAGTTTGAAATTTAGTATTATGAAAGCACAATTACAGATCAAAATAATGCAATAAAATCATATTAGAGAAACCAGCATAGCTGCAAGTTTGCAGTTAGAAGTCAAACTTGAAAACATGAGTGAGTGTTGGGCTGAACTCTGAATGAACTGGCAGTTACAAAGTGTTTTGGGTTTCCAGTCATGTTTGCAAAAGCAGCCGAAACGCTTGCAGCCACAGAACACATCTCAAAGTGTGTCTGAGGAGAGCGCCAGGCTTCTCCTCCACCACGAGCAGTTTGATCTTCCTTCAGCTAAATTTAAACCATCCCACATTCTCTGACTTTGCCTCCCTGGAGACTTCGGGCTTTTGACAAATACTGCAGCGGATGTTTCTGAAGAGCATGTGAGTGAAGGATGAATAACAAACGTAGAAAGTAGATTTCAAAAGGGCTGCTTCATACAGGGTAAAACATTGAGATGTGTTGCAGTCATGGAAAATGTTAAATTTAAAAAATGTATAATATTTCTCTAAAGGACTGTAGTATTTCTTGTAAAAAAAATATTTGTAAATTATATTGATCTTGGGCCTCAGTGTTTTAAGAATTTCCCAGCACACAGCTGCTCCAGCTCGTGGATGCAGATGTAATTTACTATTTACTATTTATTTAGCTATAAACTATTATGGAACATCTGTTTTTTATGAGCTTAATGTCTCTGTACAATGTCCCCAAATAAAAACGAAACTAACTTAGTGACTCTAATCCTCTAGACATACCTGACCAGATTCGTTGCAGATGGCTGGCAGATCCTGGACAGAGCGCCTCCTCTGGGACTCACACGAGGCTGTGGAGGAAGCAGAGATCATCAGGTGTAAGCAAGTAATCTTTAAAAGGCTGGTCTAAAATCCAAAGAGTTTCAAAGAAACAGTTACGGCACTATCTACTACGGCACTATCTATTTAATCTATTTAATTTACTCAACACAGCACAGGGTATTCTTGACTGTCCCTTAAATTGCAGTCACTACGTAGCATGTCATTGTCTGTTTGCATCATGTAGATAATAAATCAGATGTGCTAAATGCACAACTAGATCTTACCGGAGGCATTAGAGACCCAGATTTAAATGACAGCTCAACCAAAGATGAGAGAAGATTTCTTGTTTACAGTATTAGTGAGAAAATTATCATTAATCATTTTGAAAGTTAGAAAAACATTAACTTCAATATATTCAGATTTTACACAAATGAGATTTTAAAAGAATAAATAAACAAAAAAACCCTGCTTTTATACTATTACCATACCAGATTGTATATTTCAAAATTCAGACAGAGTGGAAGATCACACATTACAATCCAGAAGAGGTCCTTAAACACAGTAGTGAGCTGAAGTTGATTAACAGATATGGACAGTAGAGGTGGAACAATAGGCAGGTAATCGGTGCAGCTACCAAACATGAGACGAAAGATCAGATTTGATTGGTTTTGGATTATGAGGATAAAAGGTTTTTATTCTGCCAATGTTCTACCTCTACTGCATGTCTGTGCAAGAGGAATGTGTAACATGCTCGAAGTTCAATTCCCCAAATTCAACAATTGAATGTCAAGTTTCTTATGGCTCCAAAATAGAAGCTAATTTGACCATGGTACCACTTTTATGATTAGTTTCACATCTGTAATAATAGCTCTGACCTTGAATGTGACAGAAATGAATCCTAACGACTTTGCCAAAGTTAATGGGTGTACAGAGAACAAGGGGAAGATCAGCCATGCACTTTTGTGCCCTTCAGAAGAACAGGTGATGCACACAGCACAGCAGATAACCAGGCTCAACACCAACACACAGACAGAACAGAGGGAGGAGGGGGTGTCATGGGTCAAAGGTCATCACATCTGGCTCCACTAAAACCTGCTTTTGTGTCTGGATATCTGTATAAAATCCTTCATGAGATTTTGTGTGTGAAAGCATATTGATATGTTTCAGTGGAAGAGGTGACAACTCCTTAATCCATGTTGTTTTGAAAGCACAAAAGACATGAGTCTGCAGATGCGTGTCACGTCAAAAGGTCTCTTAATATTTGTATTGATTTGTCGTAAAACTTGCAAACAACACATTTAAATTAGGATATGTGACTGAACTCTAAAAGCTTAAATCGCCCACCAATATTAGACAGATTAATACGAGATCTTGTCTAATGCCACAATGTCTCAAATAAATATTTAATAACATTTAAAAAATTGATCTATTTAAAACCTCATTTTACTCATTTGAGTAAATAAAGGTTATCAAAGTAGAAAATATATTTTTAAAATATCAATATTACAGAAGTGACACACAAAAGAGTCATGTCAAAACAGCTCAGCCAAGACTGCTTCCTGACTACCAGCAGAGCCTGGAGGTCCAGTGATACCTGTCACGACGATCTTGGGGACGTCCAGAATGGTGCCAAATGAAGCCGTTTTGCGGTGGCCTCGTTTATACTGCGGGCGTGCTGCGGAGAACACAAACAGCTACTACACAGAGCATGCAGACTAATGCTGCATGTGAAGCTACACACATGCAGAGCACAGGGACATGCAGGCAGCATGCACCCAAACGGACACATACTCAGTCAAACAAGCATTCAGCCAGACAAGCATTCAGCCAGGCACACACTCAGCCAGGCACACAAGAAGACGGACTCAACTATAGTCAGGACAGACAGATGGAGCAGTCCTCGCACGGCACTTTTACAGGGCTGTTAAACTCAAGTCTTATCAAATAAAACTTCAAAAGTAGCCCTTGATCTAATGTGGATACCGGATACAGAGTAAAGGAACAATAGTGTATTCCCATGTGGTGTGTGATTATGACTCAGCCGATACACATTCCACTGTGGGTTCTCTGCAGGCACTGAGTCCTTTCACATCCAAAGATACGATTTAGGAGAAACAGACTCAATATTAGCCTAGTGCTCATTACTGCAGTATTTTGAGTGCTATATCTGTAGAGCAGTGACCCTGGAGAGAGTTCACCCAACAGCCACAGTCGCTGGGATAAGCTGTAGTACTGGTGAACTTTAAAATGAATGAATCAAAGCTTACAACTTTCAAGCTTCTTTAGGATTGAAAATAAAAAGCAAACATTAAAACCTGCTTGCAAAACACTGCCAGAAGCTAAATACTAAGTGTTCTGCCTTCTGAAAATAAATATTTCAATGCAAATGCATTCAATAAACATTTCCAAACATCTTACAGGGGTTGCAACAAAGAACCAATAAAAAGGAAGGGGATTTGGAAATGGACTGGAAAGCTAACCAGACTGTCCTCATGCCTGGAAATTCTGCACTCTCTTCTGGTTCTATCTGGTGTATTTTACCTGAGGGTGTGTATGACATCTTTGGCTCCAGCTCGGAGAGGTCTGCGCTCATTCGCTTATCGGAGCTTTGTGTTCTCCCAGGCAGACTCTCCACACTGCCCCCTCTGGACAAAGGCAAGGTCCTCAGCGGGTCCTGAGACAAGAAACAGATAATTCTTATTTTCACATAACTTTACAAGACATCACAAAAAATGTGTTAAACAGTCCTTGCCTTTGGTCTGAAGTGAGGAGGGAACTGAGGCGTGATCTTGATGGTGTCATTGCTCCCTTGAGAGTCGCTGTGCTCCATGTTGGCATCACTTTTGTTGCTTGTGTTGGTGCTGGTGTATTCCACATAAGATCCTTGAATTTGACAGAAACAGCAAATACATTTACAATGGACCTTTTTGAACTCACAGGCTGAATGATTTGAGAAAGACATTTAATTGTGATTTTTCTGACAAGCATGTGATTGCGATAAGATTTTCGATTTATGTTTCTTAACAGAATTCTGTTCAAAGTTCACATTTTAAACGTGTCTCGTAGAATTCACAAAAAGACTGAATAATGAAGTGAAAAACTTATACAAGAATCACATTTCAGAACATGTTTTTACAGCTCTAAACTACAGGGTGAGCAGGTTTTAGGCAGAATAAGACAGGAAATGGTATTTGAAAAATTGCAGCCTTTGCCATTTGCCAATTGTGTCCATTCAAATTGCGATTTTGAGTATTGTTGCAAACCTAATTCACAGCATTCGCAAGTATGAAATGACCACAAGTACAACATCTAATCTAGAGCTATTACATCACTGCAGTACAGTTAACACCAATATAAATACAAATTCTATTACCGGAGCTTGTGGCCGAGTTGCTTTGGCCTTCATCTGAATACTGGTAGGGGTATTGCAAGGGCTCGTCTGATCCAGGGAAGAACTATCAGGACAAAACACGTTAAGGCCAAAAACTGTGTGCTCACTAAACAGTACATGTTAAGAAAAGGGAGAAAATGGCAAGTACGTTCATGAGGTGAGTCATTATCTTGACTATCTCCTCCATAGAGGGTCTCTGTGAGGGGTCTTTAGACCAGCAGCGCGTCATCAGGCTCTCTATCGGCTTAGGCAGGTTTTTAATTAAAGGTGGTCTAGTGCCTGAAAGAAAATGGAAAAGGTTTACAGATTGTTACAACACTAAACAATATAGAAGGGGATTTATGCAAACGGGGTAACAAGTACAAAGTTGTGTTCTCCTATCTCCCGTTTTCCATGACCATGTTCAGTGTATGTGGCTCACCATTGTGCACGGCCCACATGATGCGAAAGGCTGGGCCTCCGATCTCATCAAAGGGTTTCCTGCGCGTGATCACCTCCCACAGAATGATGCCCCAGCTGAATACATCACACTTCTCACTGTAATTGCTGCCTGAAAGAACAGAGAGAGTAGAGCGAAGCTTAGGTGCTTTTCAAAGCAGGAAAGTGATTGACAAAATGAACTGACAAAGTAATTCTCCGTGGCACGTTAGGGGAGCGCTCAGGAGCCTTTATGTGCGAGAGGGAGCGGAGCGGATCTAAGAACTGCTGGGGACTTGCTTAATTATTGTGCTTATTAGAGCACCTATTTAAAAGCAGCATTTCACACCGATGCAAATGACTTTTACAGAGTTCAGTGGGAGGGTAATGGTTCACTGTTGGATTACACAGGAGTCTTAGTAGAACAACCTTATAATGCCTTGTTCAATATCATTGGCAGGAGCACTCTCTAAAGTAAAGAAAAATACTTGGTTAAAAGATAAGTTACAACTTATGCAAATTATAAGTTGATGGACATGTAATAAACTCTTTACCAGGCGGTGTAATAGCATGATTTATTTTTTCTATGTATTATTTATGTTTTTATAATCAAGATTTAGACTTAGACAGTGCCAATTTAAAAACATTCAGGAAATGCCTGAAATATGAGCAAATAACCACGTGTATTAAAAATTAATGCTTTAAATTGGTAGTAAAGCATATATACTAAAGAAAATCTGTTATGGTGAAAGAAGAGAATGCACTGACCAAACCAAAGACAGATGGAATCACAGGTACTTTGTTGTGTTACCCCAGACAGTCATAATGGTATGAGTTTCACAGAGTTCACAGAGAGGGCAGATGTGCACAGGAGCCTTGTATTTCAGCTCCAAATACAGTTAATGGTCAGCCCTTATTCATTATATCTGCTCCCTCTCTCCAACAACATGCCTCACAACGCATTAGGATCCCAGATGGACTCAAACTCTACTGCACTGTGTTCCAGGGGAAATAAAGCCACGGCAACTCTTCATTCATCTTAACACAATGTCTCCCAGTGTTCCACCAGTTAGAACAAGGCACTGATGATCCATCAGCAACTAATGTCCAAATGCAGGGAGCAGTGCAGGTAAGGTGAGAGCTGGGACCCCCCCACACATAGGGCTTTAGTGGACAGCAGCGCTGCATAATAGATTAACCACAACTAAACAATTATTGACACAATTCTTAACTAATTTAGTCTTTAATTTGATTTTTTTTTCTTTCATCTAAGTCAAATCTAGTTAAAATCCTCATATTCATGGGCCACTCTCCCATCTAAATCTTCATCAAAGAATGACTGCTAAATTAAGTAAATTATTTCCAAAATATTCTGTTGTTGCAGCCCTAGCAGAGAGAGCCTCAGGCATAATGAATGATAATAGTACAAACTGTTTTAATTGTGTTTAGTCCCATTTCAAAATATCAGTTTACCAGGCAGGCAGCTGAAGAAGAGAAAGAAATCTAAACAGAATATTCTCCAGAAACATAAACACATGTAAAACATTTCTACTTAGAATTCCAATCATACCTTCAAATACTTCTGGGGCCATCCATGCTGCACTGCCTTTGTTGTTAGTCATGTGGGTCTGAATATCGCAGGCTGTTCCAAAGTCACAAATCTTCAGCACTGTCCCTCCTGCTACCAGGAGAAGACTGAAACAAGAGACAATCAAAGGGATTAAGTAACTTCAGTTCTTCAGAGTGTGCTCTCTGCAAATTGTTCAAGAATATCTAAACTGCCTGGTGGACATTCTAAAGTGTATCACATACAAAAGTGATAAGACTCCTACACTCTGTCTCACTAACAAAAATTTAGCTTTATTTACAGTGGAGGAACATTTCAAGAACTAGGCCTTCATCAGGCAATATCTGTCCTGATTTCACTTTTGATTATGATGCCCTCTCCAATACAACGAGCTACAGAAAACAATGTGCATAGCTGTTTCATATAAAAATGTATTTTTACTAGTTAAATTATAATCATTATTTTAGGAAAACAGGGATAAAACTTTAAATTAAAAAAATATATAAATAGGCAAAAGCTATTATTAAACAATTAGAAGGGACGTGTACTTGGGTGGTTTGAGGTCCCGGTGAATCAGAGCCTTTGGTTTCATGCCGTGCAGGTAGGCCACTCCCTGAGCACATTGTAAACACCAGCTCATGGCGTGAGATGCAGTGTAGAAGGGGAGGGGCTCGGCGCCATGCAACACTGTGGACCAGACAACATAACAAATGAGACAGGTTCTGAAACAGGTATGACCTAGGATATACCATAATGCATATAAACCTTTTGCTGAGTTGCTTGTACAGTAAGACTTATATAATTTTGCATTTTTATAAAGTAATGCATAATAAGAAATCATATAATGAAAAATGCACTCCTCCTGCATATGTATTGTCCATACAGAGGAAGTACAGTCCTTAGCACATCTATTAAAGTTGATGGATACACATGCAGTGGGATTTGGGGGGCTAAGAGTGTTTGCGTACCTAGGGTTCATGGCATCTTCTGGCTGCTACATACTTCACTTTTCAAAGTCATCACACAATCCTTTCATTTTAGCAATTTGATCTAAACGTTCCATTTTTCCATTCCAACATTACATTTTTTTTGAGCTCTACATCAGAGAAAGGTGACCTACCATTGTACAGTGATCCGCCTTCAGCATATTCCATAACAAGGCAAACCTGAGAATAGAGATGGAAGAAAAATACTTTTTTTCCTGAAGCAAAATTTTAAATGCGAGGATTTACAATTATAATTTACAACTTACAGGATTATTGCAGGAACCATACAACTTCACAATATTGGGGTGGCTCACACGGGACAGCTGTCTAAGCTGAGGACAGGTAAACAAACATTACTGTCTATTTAAATTAATCACTCCAAGATAAACAATCATGATACTACTATACCTCAACCACAAAGGCTTTCCGCTCAGATTCACTCTCAATAGTTTTAATGGCCACATCATTGCCTTTCCATTTGGCTTTACAAACAACCCCAAAAGCTCCTCTGCCCACCACCTAAAAACCAACACAGTCAAAACACAGGGTCGACAAGATTTCAGGACAAATCACAGCGTTCATACAGTGTGGAAAAACATACCTCCTCCACTTCAATGTCCTCATAATTGATTTCCTCAAAAGGATATCCAGGTGGAGTTTCTAACATCTCGGCAGTTGGTATAGTCAGAGACATTACTAGCGCTGAGCTAGTAAGTACCGTACTGAGAACAACAAATAAATAACAAGAATGTTCAGGATTGTACAGTCTGCTGCAGCTTCACGGTGTGTCTAATGTGGCAACCCGCATAACAAATATCATCTCACTTATGCTTTCTGGTAACGATGCATCTAATTTAAGATCCCAAACAACTGTCAAACTGAAAAATCATTCTAAATAAATCTAAAAGCAATGGACGAAAGCCAAAGCAGCTAAGTAGCACACCTAATGACAATTTGTAAATACAATTTGTACAGAGGGATTATACACGATCACATTACAATAATACTTCAAATATAATGTCCAATGGTGTCTAGGGGTTGCTTGATGATATCCATTACTGTAGACAGCGCACTAAATTCCATAGTTTGAACTCACAGCAAGTTTGTGGGCTTGACTGGCCTTGATGCTAACGGAGCTTTAGCTGAAATTAGCCATTAGCTCGAGTCCAACCCTTCGCAGTTGACTTGTGAGCTGCTCCTGCTCTCTGGACATGAGGAGATCGTCCACTGCTCATGTGCGGGGAATCAGAGGGTCGTGTCCAGTGTTAAAAACAATTGTTGTAGATCCATATGACAGCCAGGCATAACTTTTTCATAACTCATCTAACAAGCCTGAGTGTATTTTTGTGCTTCGCAGGAGGTTCTTCCGGATGTGTGCGCTGCGCTATTCCGTCCCCTCTGCCTTCATGATGCACACAGGCTGCAGGAGGGAGAAGTGCTAAAGGTAAAATAAACAACAATTATTTTAACAGTTATGTCAATATAAAAAACAAGCATTCAACTATCAATACCGCAGGCTATGAATAATATTTGCTTACTTGTCTTATGTCTTAAATTGCAGTGCAGGGATCAGTGCATTTTATTAGTTGATCAAACCCAAAGAGACACTCTTTTTTTCCATAAAAAAACAAAAACAAAAACAAAAAAAGACCCGAAAACAAAACAAAAAACAAACAAGCAAAAAACAAACAAACAAACAAACAAACAAACAAACAAAAACTAAAAAGTAATTACTCCATCTCCATGTTTTTTTTTTTTTTTTTTGTTTTTTTTTTTGATTCATTGGGCTCAAATGATTGAAACTGTATGCCTAAAACATTTAACGTGAGTAAATGTATTACTGTTGTTCAAATCCATAATCCAAATCCACTTTATTTCCATACCACATTTTACAAACAAAGCAGTTTCCAAAGTTCTGCACAGAGATCAATAAAATGAAGACGACAAAAAATAAATTGCTAAAATTTGGTCATACCAGTCCTAAAACAATAAAACCAGTAAAATCAAATAAAAGAAAAAACATAAAATCATAAAATAGCAGTAAATAAGTAAAATAGTTAAGTAAATAAAATAAATAAAAGACACAGAGGACCACACAACTCACACGGTGTTAAAAGGCAGAGAATAAAAGTGGGTTTTAAGACGAGACTTAAAACACCCCACTGTGGGGGCTGTTTAGACATTAATTCAGACAAGACACTATCTCTGAAAGTAAATGACAAAATAACCAAACAAACTGCAAGAATGACTGTTAGAATAAGTAGACTTAGTTTTTATTTGGCAGATATTAAGAGAGGGATTGTCAAAATCAATCTCACATTGCGACAAAACCCAAAGTGCCGCACATAAAGCCAAATTAGTGAAAGTTCTTTATTCTTATTGCCTGAAACACACTGGATGTAATCTACTGTTTCCCATAGGAAGTATATGAACCACCAGATGATCACATTAATGAACATAAACTCATTTGTGATATTGGGCAGAGACTGGTTATTAAAGCAGTTATCCCTCTGTGCTTGGATAAGCATTGGAGTAGTTTATCTTGATGGTGAGGGAGGTTCATGTTCAGGCCAATGCCCATAGAGACAGGACTGTTCGCTGCCTTTACAAATTACAGCATACGCTCAGGGCTACTTCCCCTTTGTGGCCTAAGATGACCCTGAGTGGATGCATTAGCTGTCTTTGCAGGACATCCTTTGTACTACCTGTGTTTTATTTGTGATATTAAGACTCTTGTTTATAAAGCGCTTCACCATTGTTTTTTGTCACTTAAATAAAATAAACATTCCTCTTCACTCTTCAGTATTTTGATTGATTCATGCATGTTTGAGTAATCTTGTAGGCTATTGTCCTGGACTTGAGGCATGAGTGTTCAGAAAATCTCTGCTTTAAATATACCTGCCCACTGCTTGCATTTATTTCAAGAAAGATGCTAGGTCATATCTGTAGGGCAGTGAAATGCCATTGAAAAGGTAGAGCCTCAGTTTTGCAGTTTTTAACACTAAATCAGCTGAGTACTTGGAAACACATTATAACACACACACTGTACAGAATTTCCTATTCATGTCATTTTAGATAATGGACATTCAGATTTTTTTTTCTGGTGGAGCCATCTGATTCCGCACAGTGTGAAGGAATCAGTGCGCCACACATAGCCTTTGATAATAGCCTATTTATCCCAGCAGCAAAACACTGTGATGTCACATAGCTGTAAATAATTAAATAGATTCTTTTTGCTTTTCATTATACCAGATGCCATTCCTGATGCAACCGTCCAGCCCTGCCTAAGATCTTGTCCTTATGCACCAACATGAGGAAGAAACTAAACCGCACCCAGAGTGGCTCAGGTACTTATTTTTTTCATTACAGTTCCCAGCTTTGTCTTAGCAGAAAACACTTACAGATACAGTATATGCATTCTCACTTAACAGGTATTTGTAAATTTGTAAATCTTCTCACTAGTTCTGCAAATACAAACGATTTTTTAGTAGTCGACTAGTCAGACGATTATTTCTATTGTACATTGAGAATACATTTTAAACCAATTAAAAGTTGAAATGTGATGATTGAAGGCTTTTACATAGAGACTATTTAATAATATCTTGTTAATGTCTTTGTTAGGTAAGATCTTTTGGCATGTTATAGTTGTATAGCAATTACAAAAATACAAGCACAGTTGTCTTAACTGATGACTTGTCACGATTATTCTAATAATGAGTGCAGCCCTACTTCTGAGACCCCCTTTTACTTCACAAATCCAGATGAGATTTGGTCATGCAGGCTCCTGTCCACAAGGTGCTGCTGTTGGACTGCTCTCAGACCCTGGAGTTCAGATGATAGTAATCAGACTTTTTCTCCTCCTGCTTACTACACTGGGCTGGTGCTTCATCTGTTTGTGTACCGCTGCCCAGGAATTTCTCACAATTACAACACATTCATTTATTCTCTTCTGTCGGCATCAGCACTCTCCTGCTCGGCAAATAATCGGCTTCCTGCGCTCGCTGCTATGATTGATTAGACCTCGACTGTGCAGCTGATCAACATTTGTCTTGTGTTTATGGCTTTTAGGCGCCGCAGGTTGGCGTTATGGATATCTCTGTCCCCAATAAGACTTACATTGTTTAATTAGAGTGCGGAGAAAAAGAGAGCTTGTGTTTTGCTAATATAAATTCACCCAAATCACCCCACAACCCCCAACAAATAAACAGCCCGGACTCAAGGGAGTACACAAAGTCATTCTGCAAATTCACTTTTACTTTTTCTAAACGCTGCATTCACTTACACTGGATTTATTTGACACATAGAATACATCATTGGAGTAATATTCCCACAGGCTAATTACTATTAGTGTGAGCGAGTGTTTTAGCTGAGTGCACGCGCGGGTGAATGCCCATGAGAAGCCCTGGCACGAGTCAAAGAGCTGGGAGTGTCTGATGCTAAGTGGCTAGGCTCCTGTGGTGGGACTGCGGAGGTGCTGGTGTTTAACGTATAACAAACAGGTTCCATTTGTAAGAGGGTCCCGCTGCTGGTAGTGTCCCCGCTGTGTGACCTCACCTGAAGATGTTTGCTCCGGGCACATGGAGGAGAGGAGCCAGGAGGCCAGGGGCAGTGTGTGAGGTTATGCTCTCTCTCCCTCTGTACCCAGAACACTGTATACTGAGAAAGGCCACTCACATCACTGAGGACTCCACTCACCCACACCATAACTCCTTTACTCCTCCTTCACTCCTTCACTGTTACCATCAGGTCCTTCTGGCCCATGAAAACATATACAAAAAAGTCCTTCATTCCAGATGCCATTGCCTCTCTGAATTGCACCAGATGAGCTCAGGCGAGTGCTGTCGTTTTTTTTTATTTTTTTTTATTTTTTTTTAATGTAATGTGTTTTAGATATGGCTCTTATGATAAATGTTGTCAAACAAAAAATTCTGTCTCTACCTGGAACAGACTAACCTGGCTCACGATAAAGTATAGCCATCTGAACTGAGTGCTACACATTATCCATCAAGCAAAATGTCATGGTGATGATATTTGAATGGTGATTGAATTTGAATGGTGATTGGTCGAAGCGGAACAAGCCAAATATGTGCAAATTTCTGACGACTGCCAAAATATTATCATCAGAACAGCAGCGTGATAATGCAAAATAAAATGATGCCAGCTGTATTCAAGGATGGGTCAAATGCAGTAGAGAAATTTCCTTACTGGCTTATTTAGTCTGTACTAGTATTAACCCTAACTAGAACAGTGATTAAACAGAATGCTAATATGAGTAGAAGGGTTGTCAAAAGTTATCAAAATTATCAAAATCAGATTTTAATTGATACTAAAACCGGTAATGAAACTAGATACTCATTTGAGCAGGTATCGATACAAAAAAAAAGTCACATTCACTGGACAGAAATTAACCTTTCCTGAATAACTTTAGAATAATCTTCAGCTGTATCAGAACAAGTGTAAGATCACATAGACTAGTATGGATCACTGCAGAACCTACCTGGACTACTGAGAGAATACACAGATATAAGACCACAAGACAATATAAAAGAAAGTACTATTTTTTAATGCTGAAAATCACATTGTTTCTTATTATCATTGCCGTATTGGATTCGGTATTGAGTATTAAGGCTATTCCTTAGTATTGAAATCAAGTGTGAAATTACTACCGTACATCTGTCTAGATGGTGTTGTTCTATGACATTGGAGCTGTATGTCATCACCTCAGCTTTCCCTCCTCTGGCGTCCTCCGTCCTCTCATCCACACTGACCTTTTCCCTGTCCTCTATAGCTTCCTTCTGGGTGACTTTGTGTTATGTCTACAACAACTGCCCCATACCTCACTTTGGCAGATTTGTGAGACTCATATTTAATGAGGAGAAAATATTACCCTCCCATGAACAGCCTTTTCATTACCTTCTAGTAGCAAATTTACTTTTATTAAAAAAGTTACAGGACCTGAGGCTCTTTCTGCTGACTTAAGTGTTTGGCTGTGGGGTAATAAATCAGGTTTATAAAGTTAGGGCATGTGGCATTTTAATTTCAAATCACATGAAACACTTTAAATCATGGCAGGAAAAGAAAATATGACAATTAACATTAAGTTATTACATGCAGGAATCCCAAGGTCATCCGGAGGTCTTCGAGGAGAGCTGGAGCAGAACCAATCTACATATAACATGGACAGGCCAGACCACCTTCACTACTGGAGACATGATATTTGGTAAGTTTTTTTGTTCTAGAATGGTTATTTTTGTAGAAAAGACACACATAATATTATATACCAATGCAATGTTCCATGTTCCTGCATAAAATTAAATAAAAACATTGGTAACTCATTATAATAACTACACTTTAATTAATCAAAATAAAGCGTGAAGAAAGAAAAGACTTGATTAATAATGACCAAATAGTTAATCAAGAATTACCTATTTGGTACCTTAACTTCTAACCCTGTATTTTTCCCATGTATTTGAGCAAAATATGTCTTGCTACAGTACAGATATATTGTGTAAGCAGCTCTTGAGGTCAAAATATATCCACTGTGTACTACTGGCATATAATTATAAGCATTTTATAGTCATTAGAAAGTTTTGCCAAGATGTGTTATCAATTAATACTGAAAACTATTATGCTTGTCAAATTATTAGATTAACATAGGTCAGTACTGAAGCGTTGCATGTTAAACTTCGGATTAAATTGAGCTGAACCTATGTTTTAAAAGACTGCGGTGATCTGCGGTGTTCTTTAAGGAACAACTGGAGTGTTTCTGTGACGTGGGCTGACCTTTATAGAAATAAATCTTGGGACTTTCATCTCTCTCAGTGTGAAAAATGGATTTTAAAACACATTAGCTACAAGTACCTCGCTTAATGTCAGAGAATTAAGCGGGATTGGATTGGCTCTCTTTTGTTGTGATCAAGATGGCAGTCAGAGACGTTTCTACAAGCATGTCCGACAAGCTAGACAGCCTATCGCTAACCCACTGCACAGCTACTGCCTCAAGGCTCATCTCCTTCTGTTGTTTTTGTTTTATCAACTCCCCACGTCCAAACTAGGCTATACTTTCTTTTTCTCAAATGTGGGATCTTTAAGTTTATCCACCCACCGACTGCGCAAACACTCAGAGCACATCTCACCCCACGGAAGGCACTTGTCTTTGCCAGCGATGGACGAAAGAAGTTGTTGAACAAAATCTTCTTTATGGTGGCGAACAGCATGCTTGAGAAGTGGAGCCAAATTCTGGAAATAGATTCTGATACACCCAACAAGCACTGCTCATTCTGTATAAGTGTGAGTGCCAAGAGTGGACTTGGCAAGGAATATGTGAAATATGAAGAATAAAAGGGCCGCTATTATTCATAGTGTTGTTTTAATGCGGGGAGTTCATTCGACGTATGTATTTATAGTTGTTGTATTCATGAGTTTTGACAGGTTCAATCCGGTCCAAAACAATTAGTGAAGAATAACATTATCTATGCTACAGTTTTTGGGGCTTTATGGCTATTAGGTTGTCAAAAGTATTGAAAATCAGGTACTAATTGACCGCTAAGGAATCTACCTAGACGACTGAGGGATTATATAGATATAACACTACATGATAAAAGAAAAGGAAATGAAAATGGAAAACGAAAAGGATTATGGCAATTACATCCAGAGCCCTCCACTACATACTTTGGGAAAACTTTGTCACAACTCCACTTTAGTTAGCCTTAATAAAGCATGAAAAAGAGTGTAAGTAGGAATGTAATGATATCCAAATCTTTCGGTACAATATTATCACAATATGCATCTCACGGTACAATATTTATTGCGATATTTTGGAGAGGCTAATATAATTGTAGATGGGACACTTTTTTGCTTTTAAAATACCTTGACAAGATTTTGATGTGAATTATTTCCATCATAATCCCAAGAATTCAAGTAAAAAACATATTTCTTCATGTTGTCTGCACTGAAATGAATCATGGGATATGTAGTTCCCTATGTTTATAAGCTGTTGCTACTATAAAACAATGCATTTATGCCAGGGATGTCCAAACTTTTTTCATCAAGGGCCACATCTCTAAACACAGACGAGGCAGAGGGCCGATTGAGGGCCATAGACTAGTGCTCAGTACAGTGAATAATTGAAATATGTGCATGTTTAACACATTAGAATGAACCATCAGTCCTTTATTCACGCCAAGATCCTCAAAACCACACACAAAATTTTAAATATTGGCTTTATTAAAGGTTGTATAGAGGATTTTCCAAGGAACGAGAAATCCAGCGACTGTTTGTCCTTTTTCAAATGTTGCGCATGCGTGAAACCCCCCCCCCCCACAGCTCCCTACGTAGAAACGCCTCCTCCCGCCTCCTCCTTACGCCAGAAACAGGTTTGTTTACAGCCGGTGCGCTGCACATGACTTGTAAACAACTAACTACAGTGTTGGTTAGGCAAGGCGGAGAAGTGAGGAGCGGGGGGAGGGGGTGTGCGGACATTTCGTGCGCGGACGAGAAGTGAGGAGCAGGGAGAAGAGCGGAGCGGGAAGCAGGGAGCAGGGAGAGGAGAGGGGAGCGGTGCGCGGAGATTCCGTGCCCGGAGAAGTGAGGAGCAGGGGGAAGAGCGGAACGGGCAGCGGGGACAGGAGCAGGAAAGGGTGCAGAGAAGGTTGCACGGAGATTCAGTGCAAATGAACTAGCTACAACATGCAGCAGCAAGCGGACTCTTTCTTTGCCTTGAAAATTACGTTTTCAGACATAGGATATCGCTTTCGTGTCCTGAAAAACGTTTGTCTAGCTCTTGGAAATAAAGTACGTTTTCAGAATAAGCAGAAGTGACCTGTCCAGGAGTAATTTGGTGACCAATGCGTCAGTCTTTAGACCCTGCGTCTGCTTCAGTTGCGCCATCGCTGGAATGAATCTTCAAGAATCACCTTAGTTTGGCTTCGCTGCTTTTCCCCTTGTCTTCTTCTTTCAGCAATCTCAAAAATGGACTTTCTTTTGCGGCTAACTGCTCCTGGATTCTTGTCTGCCATTGCAACAAACTTTGTGCTAACTGCGAGGAAGATATAGGTAAAAAAAAGCCGCTAAGAACTGTTGTGTTGGTGGAATAAACAGCGTCTGTGCATCTTGTGTCTTGCGTCTGTGGACTGCGTGACAGGCGTACGCAAACCACGTAACGGCAGCGCGCAGGCAAGTCAGTTACGCTAGAAACGTAGGGCGTTTGATTGACAGCCTGTCAGCTAACAGATAACGAGGCAGTGTCGTTATCTATTGGCAAATGTTTAGCTGGCCCCACCACGTCCAGAGTTGATGAATTTTTATTCTCTTTTTTTTGGTCATCATAATTACAAGGCTACTGCACCTCTATAATGCTATCATTGACAATTTGAAGCAAAAAAAAATCCTCCATACAACCTTTAAGGTAGATTTTCAAAAAACTTGCAATAAAAAGTAAATTTTTCATTTGTGCAAGGTAATTTGGGCCAATTCTCCTGGAAGCCTGAGGGCCAAGAAAAACTTCTCTGACAGCTGCATTTGGCCCACGGGCCATAGTTTGGACATGCCTGATTTAAGCAAAGGAACTTGTATATATTGTGATAGCCCACGATATTATTGTGAAACTTTTGACGATATGATATTATGATATTTCGGTTATTGTTACATCCCTATGTGTAAGGTTTAGTAAATGCATTAATACCCTAACTCAGGGATGTCCAAACTTTTTTCATTAAGGGCCACATTTCTAAACACATTCGAAGCAGAGGGCCGATCGAGGGCCATAGACGGGAGCTTAATACAGTGAATAACTGACATACGTGCATGTTTAACACTTTAGAATGAGCCATCAGTCTTTATTCATGCTAAAATCCTCAAAACCACACACCAAATCTTCAGTATTGGCTTTATCAAAGTAGATTTTCAGAAAACTTGCAGTAAAAAGTAAATTTTTAATTGATGTAAGGTAATTTGGGCCAAGTCACCTGGAAGCCTGAGGGCCAAGAAAAATTTGTCCGAGGGCCGCATTTGGCCCACGGGCCTTAGTTTGGACATGCCTGCCCTAACTCCTAACCCTAACCTTTTCCATAAATAATTACTATGCCTGTATAAACTCTTAAAAAATGATTTGTTCATTATGAGGGCAACAGTAGCTCAGTTAGTAGAGTGTTAACCACTGACTCACAGGTTGACAGTGCGATTCCATCTCTCACATATGAATGCTGTCATTGTGTCCTTGGGCAAGACACTTAACACACCTCGCCCCCAGTGTCTCTGTACCCTGGTGTATGAATGTGTGTGTGTGAATGTGCGTGTGGCTCCTTGTTGTAAAGTGCTTTGAGTGTCTTGAAGGTGGAAAACTGCTATATAAAAATGCAACTATTTACCATGAATTAACCCTTTCTTCGTGTTTTATTAAATCAAACTTTTTGAGCAATAACTTTAGGTTTTGGTAACCTAAAGAGGGGGGTATTATGTAAAATGTTATTATTATCTTTTTACCATGTTATAACACTGTTCTCTCATCAAAAAAAAAATGCCTACAGAGGTTTTAGATGTCATCCATGCATGTTTGAGTATTTTCTCAATCTCTCCTGGGCCCTATTGGAAACCTCCTTATGGTTAGCTGTAAAATTCTATCCAGTGCTCAGCCCACAAGCATACATCATGCATGTTACCACATGACAATTCTCTATAAATATACAAAAGCATGACACAAACCTGCACAACTTGACAAACCTGATGCAATGTGCAGTAGTTCCATTCACAGGATTCACTGATTGTGTTGTGATAACGCTCTGAAGGAGGAGTGACTGAGCAAATAAAACGGAGACTCAGAACATCATAAACAAAAGTGAAACTGACAAAGCATATTAATACTTTGTTTTCATACACTGCAAATATAGCATTTTCAAAACAATAAAAGGTAACATGGTGATCTAAACATGTTACTGTATGTGTTAACAGTTAGCAGAAGTAAAATCCCCCCTCTTAATAAATACTTTGGAGCATAAGACTTACAAACCCCTTATGTTTTGGACCACCTGAACACAAACCCCTGCAGCTTGCCCTATTGGCACAAGCTCACATTAACTTCTTGTGCGTTTTCGGAGGCATTAGCGGAGCAGCTGGGACTTGAGCACAGAAACACAAACACGGGCTCTCATCTGAACCGCTCGATCAACATAATGATGGAGTATTTGGACAGGAATAGGAGCTAAAGAGGGCGCGAGGCAGGCAGTGCTTTCAGAGCTGGAGGAGCAGATGCCACAACGCTGAATGGCACGCTTGGTGGGAGATCCTCGTGCCTGATTACACTTCCTGCTTCTCCAGATAAAGTGCTGTGATTGGATGAGACAGTGCTCCCTCTGAGTGCCGACATCATGCTATCAGGTCCGATATTATGCAAAATTGACTCTTTGACAGCTACCTTTTAGCTTTTGTTTAGTAGCGATATAGGTAATTCCAGGAAATTATCCAAATGATTATCGTAGTGAAGGTGTATGGAGTACTTCCTGTTTTATCACATGACAAAACTCAGCCTAAATATGAAGAATTTGTGTGAATGAAACAAAACACGAATCTGAAAACAGTGTAATATGGGTCCTTCATATGCCGACTTCATGTGCCTGGAGTAAATTTGTTAGAGAAGGGATGATTAACTGTATGCTCTTTCTTGTTCCTTCCCTTCTGCTGGGAACTAGCCCAATCACAACCTGTTATTTTTGCCACTGCACCAATCAGCAGAAACATCAGCCACCTCAGCTTCTTAATCACGTCCTCCTCACCAACAACTCAAGAGGAGAAACACCCTTGACTTTTGGCATTCTAGTGGCTTAGTGGTTAGCGGACCTATTTGTTGTGAGGCAACAAATAGGTCTGGAGTTTGATTTCCAGATCAGATGGGGTCTTTCTGCGTAGAGTTGCTTGTTCTCCTTCGTTTTGGTGCTTCTCCAGCAATCCCATAAACTGTATATATAAATGGGCATTGTTAACTTGCTAGTTCATCAGTAGGCAATTCTTTTTTCCATGGGGCCACAGGAAAAACAGAAAATATTGTGGAGGGCCGGGCCAAAATGCTTAACTCAATTCTGCATCATATTAATTGTATTTCTTTATAAAAAGCAGTAAATAGCATTGTTAAGACAAGTTGGTCAGACTGGTAACAGTGTATGTTATGACAAAGCAATGAAAAAGTGAGGTTGCCTTAAAAAAATGTCATTAAAAACACCTCTAAAATAAAAGCACAGCAGTTTTAGTCCATGCAGGAGGTAAATGATAAAATATGTTTATCTTGTAATCCCAAATTATCTTAAAGAGGTCAGAGTCAACCAAAGGATCATATGTGGCCCAGGAGCTGTACAATGCCCAGGTCTGTGCTAGATGCTGTGTTCCAAATTGGAAGTGTGCATGGGCACTCTTCTAGCTCCATCGACTTCGGCTCATACTCTATTGAAAAATGTCTCACCTCGTTCCGTGACTGCTGCTGTCAGGCTCCTCATTTTAGTCTTAAAATGTTCATTTTAACCTACTCTATATGATCCTGGTGGGATCAATTCCTCCAAATTCACCATATAACTGCAAGCCTTCGTGAGCTGCATTTGACTGGAGCTGAACGTTGACTTCACATTCTATATACAGTCTATCTGCATCCCCCATGAACTGAAGACATGCTCAGAAGTACCAATTCTCCATCTTAGATCTCCTGACCACGAACCAGACATAAAATGAGTCTCTACTGCACAGGATGGTTTAAAGATGGGTCAAATCCAGAGAGACAATGCTAGGGATATGTTTTTTAAGCCGTATTGAACAGAGATGTTGAGAAATGAAAACAAAATTGCCAACAGCATGTATCCAAGTTCTGTAGCTCATCGTCGTCGTCGTCGTACAGGCGTTTGTGTTTATGTCATTTCCCAGCTGTGATTGTTGTGTTGGATCGTGCTTAGATTCATTGACATCCACCTGCTTATCTGGCCCACACAGACGCAGCAGAAGACCAGGCGCTGTCTCTGTGAGGGCGTGATGAAGATATCTGGGTTCCTCTGAAGGTAAAGAACACCCGCTGGCTCTGCTACACGCTAACTGCTACACGCTAACAGCTCATTTCACATCACAATGATTTACAAAGACATACACTCGGTGAGCTTTCAAACTATACCCCCCGGATCTGCTGGGTGGTTCGGTACAAGCCAGTGTGCTCCAGTTCCAGTTTGTCTGTGGGGTTTGAAAGTTGTGTCGTTTCAATTTGTAGAATTGTGTATGATTAAAAAAAAAAAAAAAAAAAGAAAAAGTATGATTTGAACTTGAATTTAACCTACTGTAAAAAATAAAAAAAGTGACAAAAACAGAATTATGGTGGAGCAGAATTTCATAATTAATAGTTCTTGAGGGGAAAGGCCACAATTGCCTTAGTTTAAAATGTGATTGCAAGAAATTTTTCAAGTTTTGATTGTAACTGTTTGAACTGGTTTAGCAAAGAAATTCAGTCAGATCGACCATTTGACATAATTAAATACCTGATTCAGCCTCTTCAGTAACATGCACTGTAACTATGTGTAGAAATATACACGCATCCTATGTGGAGGTGGGCTACTAATGGCTGAAGACATTGAACAGGGCAGTATTCAAATCACAGCTTGAGGCGGCCGTCACTCACAGTCCTAATGTATGTGCATGTATACATACTGTCTTATTAGGCCAGAGGAAGAATATCTTTACTAGTACATGTGATGCAAGTGAAACAAGTGTCATCAGAGCACTTCATGCACATCTAATATGAGCAAATGTTATTGTGACTTTTAACAAATTTTATAGATGTTTCCCCCTGACCATTTCTCACCCCAATCTTTAATCACTTATTTTCAAGACACCACGTTGCCGATCAACCACTGCTACCAGCATACGCCCCCTGCTCTACTGACTTTGTTCTCCAGTTGTATTTTCCTATTTGGTGATATGCATATGATTCAGTCCCATCACGTAGTAATGTTGGTACAAATAAAATATCCGCTTCTCACTAGTCTCCACCACATACGGCTCTTTGTTGTGATGACATTTATGGTGACGTCAGCTCCCACTGAGCATAGCAGTGTTCTAATGCAGAAGTTAGTGGATTTGTTTCTTTTATTAAGTTGGTTTTGATGGCATGTATACACATTGTCTGGTGAGATTTTCTTTTTCATGTGTTTACATTTGGACTGGATTTTTTATGAAGTTGTAGTTCCAAAAAGCAAACTGAAAATGGGAAATAAAAAAAAGTAAAAAAAAGAAGAGAGAAAAAAAAAAAAAGAAAAGAAAAAGGTGACACCTGCATGATTTCATGGACATTCCAAGGAAATAGGATAGCAACAGGAGGCCACATAACAGTCAGGAGATACCAGCCTTCTCAGAGTGGGGAAACATGCTTTTATTTTAGTCTATTTAGGCTAAAATGGTACATACATAAGTAATTCAGGAATTGTCCAACTTTGTCCTGTTTCATGTGATTTTATCAGTATTGATCGTACTTGTTCATTTGAGTTTCAGTACCATAATATTAATAACCGGGCACAGGGTGTATAGTACTCATCAATGATAACATCAGCTGCATGGAGCCCAGCTTGCTTGGGCTCCATCCCTCACCATGCAGGGCCCCTCACTGCTGTGTTCTGATGTGGAACCTGCTCTGGCATTTCCTGGAACAAGCTACATGCAGAGACTTACAAACAGCATTACAACTTCCTCTGTGTTACAGTGGCAGAGTGGGTATTCTGTCTCCCACCTCTCATCAAGGAGGTTGGTAAATGGCAAATCATAAATGGTTGCATTTTTGCACTTTTCCACCTTTAAGGCTCAAAGCACTTTACATCAAGGAACCACTCATCTATTCACACACACATTCATACACTAGTGTTTGCAAACACTTATTTCTGTTCTTTTTTCCTTTTTGTTGGACTTTATAGCCGTGGTAGGAAGATCCGAAGTCTGGATCTCCACCTCCTCACACTGGGATACCTGAGCCACATTGATGGGTGCAGCTTCGGACTCTGTTGGAGTTGAGTTCTCTGCTGTTCTTTGATAGGAGTAACGTCACGTTTTTCCAGTGTTGACGTGTCCTCTGTATTTTCAGTTTCCTGAAGGACATATTCTGACTCATTGTGCCAGAAAATAGAAAATGTCTGGCATGATGACTCATGCTCATCTTTGTCTGATGGTTTAGAGCTGGTAGAGTCATCTGGAACTTCTTCAGTCAGCTCATCTTCAGCCTTGATGGTTGATGGTTCTTCGTTGAGTGAAATGACTTCTGTAATTTTACCAGAATTATATTGAACCTCTTCTACTTCTGCCACTGCTGGCTCTTAGACAGTCTCAGAAGGACCATTCAAGATCTCCTCTACTGTAGTGAACTTCTCCACAGTTATGGTAACCGCACTGTGGGAGTATTTGTTCCCAGACGGTGTCAGACAGTTGTCCGGTGTTTCCAGCTCAATCTGTGTCACCTGGTGGCTGTGGTGAGAGATTTTTGGCTCCAGGGGACAAGATCTCATGCCACAAGATTTCGGAAGACAAAATTGCCACATGATTGTGCCCACATTTTCTTTTCCATGCATTTCCATTTGGATTGCATTCCTTTTAAGAAGTTGTAGACAAAATACAAAATAAAGTTGAAAAAGAAGAATAGTGAAGCCAAAACTGTGAACTGAACCACATAATGAACTTTTTCAAAATCATTTCAAAATCTCACCTCAGTCAGTGAGGCAGAGATTTTGAAATAATTTCATCTTGTGGAAATTGTGTCTTGTCCCATCCCCAACTTCCTTGAATAAAACCCAATAATGATTTCCTTCCCACTTCATCCACTTGTGAACCATTAGATTTATTTTTGTGTAACTTTTTATGTCTTTTGTGTGCAGCCTAAGTAGCACCTCATGCACATAAGCTGTGTGCATGATTATCTGTGGTCATGGGTACAGAATGGCAGCCACACTTAAGTGTCTTTTTATTACAACCCCACTGTAAACACATTATGCCTCGTGATTTGTACAGCAACACGTGAGTCCAATCTGAACAATAAACAGGAAGTGTGTTAAGAACATTAGAGCCATATGCGTGCTTATGTAACGGAGTATGAAAAATCCCTCATTCGTCCAGGTAGAATCCATGGCAAAGGAGAAAAATCAGTTTGTCAACTGGACAAACGAACTGAAGAAGCAGCTTGGATGAGCTGCGAAACGTATTCGACCAAACAAACTTTTGTCTAGTCGACAAACTGATTTGTTCCTTTGTTAAGTAATGGAGCTACTCTACTGTTTTCATGTATTTTCTGTTACAAATGGGCTTAGGGTTGAGTTATTTCTTATTCAATTTTTGTCATATAAAAACTTTTCTCCTGCATAGTCAAAGTCTACACCAAAACCACATGACTTCCCTATTCAAAAGAAAACATGCTGATCACTGGCACAAAATCTTGATCCATATTGCAATTTAAAATGTCCAAATTATAACAAAACGATCCACGGGTGTCATAGATTATATAGCAGGCTCGAGAACAATATGTCTTTTAATGTTACTACAGTTTTACAGTTATTCACAGTTACCATGACCAAACTGCAGTCATTTCCTTTATTAACTTTTACCAGATTTTTTTTTAACCATCTTTACAAAATTAAACGTTCTTATTTTGCTTCTGAATTTCTCACTAATTTTATATACTGTGTGTGGCCTATACAATCACCATTACTACCCAATCAATCTTGCCATCCATACCAATTATATTATCTGGGGAGATATAACACTAGAGGGATTTTATGCTTGTTAGCCCTTCATTCAGCTCTATCAGCTAACAGTTACTCCAATTAAATCCTAAAGTATTACTGCCCCCACCGTGCCCTCTCTGAGCACATGGACAAGTTTGTGTGTACATCGACTCGTCCTGACATCCTTCTGGGGACGTGATGGGTAAGTCCTGCTCCTGTAACGGTCCCCTGTATTATACTTGTGTAGTAGCAGATAAGGACTCCAGCACTGCCTCACTACTGCAGCATACTAAAACTCTCTCCTGCTGTCCCCGGGGGCTGCGCACTGTCACTCCTGGATATGTCTCCTGTGTAAGAGGAGCAGAGAAATTACTACTTTCTTTTACAGTTTTGGAAGTCTGGGCGTAGAGCATTGTATAAGAGTCATCTGAGGTTTCATGGATTAGATAATGTGCATTGTTACTGCTCGTTGTGCAGTAATTAAGAGGCCAGAGTAACAACCATAAGATGCAAAGAATACCATTAATAATACATTTTAGCCAATCTAGTAACAAGCTCCATTTCAGTCATTTGTATTTAAAGGTTCACCGTGTAACTTTTTAAATGGATGGTATTACTTAGATACCTTGAAAAACATGCATTCCCACATTTCTGACCTGTAACTCTGCCTGAGAATGCCAACTTGCCTCTCTGGAAATAGAAAAGTTTAATGCCATACTGTGGAACATTCCAGGCAACACACTCAACATCTCAAGACAAGCAGGTTACAAACCCAGAAATTAAAAATGTAAAAAAATAAGAACATAACAATGCAAAAGGTCAGTGTTGTCAATCTCGGCTATTAAATGTATTTTTCACTGCAAACTTTACACTTCAAGGCCAAAATTCAGTCTGTTAAGTACGTCACATATTTGTTATTCTTCTCTTGCCTTGTTTTTAAAATGGGTGTTTCTAGTAAAATGGCTAATTCCCATTGATTTATGTTTGTACAGTCTCTGGATGCAGTTGGGACCGGTGTTGCCTTTGACAGATGTTCTTATTAAGTGTTTGTGCAGATTAATGAGTGTCTGGAGAAACAGAGGCGTGGGGAATAGTGCGGACTTCTGAACAGAGGTGTGAAGCAGGAGGCGTTTAATGAAATCTTCAAGAGTCTCCAATGGATTTAAGTGCTGTATGGGTGTATGAGCTTGTGACCCAAACCTGGCACACTGCTAATTAAAATGTTCAGCTATAGAGGGACAGCTACATTTGCTTCTCCCTCGTCACATCTACATCTTCTATTGCAGATTGTCATTGCCATTTTATTTTTATTTTTTAAACCATAG